TTCCAGGAAAAAGTTCGTTACATAGAAAAATTCGCAATATAGAGGTTCGTTATATAGAGGTTCGACTGTACATATTAAAATAAAGTGTAATTATTTAATAAAACGTAGCTAAAATAAAAAATTCTTAGTTGGCCTAAGTAAGAATTAACTTTATTTTTTTAATTTACTTGTTCTTAATCTGATTAAAGTTACGTATGATTTCACGTGTTTCATTCTCAGGGTAGTTTTCAATTTTAACGGAATATATATACCAAGCCTGACCTGTAAAGGTTAAGGAGTGATCACTGTGATCGATCAAAACTCATAAATGTCATTTAATTGACCAAATTTTCTTATTTTCACAGACATGAAGGCATACAATTTCCTTTTTCTAACTTACTTTTTGAACCACACGAATATTCACTGATCCGTACATTATTTTTTTGCCAGTGACCGCCAACGTAGAGAAAAACCAGATGATAGTGTCAAGTAAATGAGTGAGTGAATATTAACGTCACACTGTTCAGTCGCAAGAGGGGTTTTGGCCACGGACCTCTTAATTTTGAATCATAGTCAAGTGACGAGGACGACTCCTGATCTGGCACCCTCTCTCCTAACTACCACACCATACCAAATGGTAGTGTCAATTATTGGCAATAAAGGTGGAGAAACAATATAGTAGAAAGTTCCATCTTCAAGTGCAATTTCATCTCAAAATTACTGTCTCTTAAAAAAGTTAGTATATTATTTACTTAATAATCCATTTTATTATCATCAACCAAGATTTCATAAATTTCTTCAAATTTCGATTCTTTGCATGCTATTTTTAGTGTGCTCATCGTTTTGTTGAGTTACATTCAAATTCAAATATATTTTTTTTAATGAAAATTCATTTAAAATGTATCAAGTAATATAAAAGAAAAATTAAGTGAATTCCTACTTAGGTCAACAAAGAAATATTTTTTTAGTTTCTTTTTATTAAATAGTGTTACACTCAATATAAATGTGCAAATACATATGGCAGAATAACAATATTAAGTGACAAAAAAAGCAATTTTCCTTTCTATATATGTTATTGGACTTTTTTTTGTTTGTTTTTATTTGGTACTATTTATTCATTAATAAAATTTAATTATAGTAATAAAATAGTATAATAAAAAAAGAAGGCACTTTTTCAGAAATTAGGCCATCCCAAGTGGAATTCGAACCCACGTTCTTTGGATTAAAGGTCCAACGCGCTATCCATTGCACTAAAGAGACACAACGAAAGATTTATCTTTCTATATATGCTGTTAGACTACTGTTTTTGTTGATAAACAATTTAATTATTTTTCATTTAATGAATAAATTAACATTTGAAAAACTATATTAACATCAAGTGTCATCTACTGCAAGTTTAAAATATGTATTTGAACTTGAACGGATGAAAAGAAAGTATTTAATTAACGATTGAAAATTTGAACAAGATATATATAAGGAGAGAGTGAACTAATAGTAAGAATTGAAAAATAGGTGTGAAAAACAAAAATCAGTTTTCCCATTTCGGCAAATCCAAAGAAATTCCAAAATAAAATATTATACGTTAAATCCTAGTTTCAATAAAAGTCAATTTATTTCGAAATATGAATGAGCAGTCTGTTAAAAATAACAACTATATAAATATTACTACAAATTTATTATATTGTGAAACATCTAATTCACTTCATTCCTTTGAGAAAACAAATACAAAACAAATATATTCTAGACCAGGTATAAAGGTGCACCAAATTGAGACAAACGGCCAATGTCCTATGCCATAGATTAAGACATCCATCAAATAAACAACTCAACGCCCACCCTTTTTTAACCTAACCTTTTTATCCCTCTCTAACCACAAACATAACTGTATGTCGTATCGTGCCTAAGTAATAAAGAAAAAAGACAAACATTTTTCGTGTCCTGTGACATACGGATGTCCAATTGACGATCTCTGTTGTGTGGTATATCTCGTGATGGATGATTCTGGGAGTTTTTATTTTTACTTTTTAAAAAAAACCCGATGGAAATGAGGAAATTTATATTTGTCGTAGGATATATGTCAATTTATTCTAGAATTGTTTATCGTGCATGTTATTTCGTAACTCTGGTGCATGCTTGATTTGTCCTAAGGGATTTCTGCGCGCTGAATTTATGTTGTTGTCTTTTTGGGATGGTGAAACGATTCTTTTTCTTGTTTACTTCCGTTTGGGCTCAGTATATTGTTTTCATCACGCGTAATTGATCTTGGTTTGTAGAAGGGGAGGGGAGAAGAGATTGAGTTCTCATAGGAAAAGAATATATATGTATGATTATAAGGCGACTGATTTGTTTTTGTACAATTATAGAAAAAGAGATAAATACTCTTGTGTGTCTGCGACGTATTTACGATAAAATGCTTTTTAGGGATATATTGTTCTTTTTAGAGTATAGTCCATAAACTTTTATTTTTAAAGCTTAATTTTTTCCCTTGCTCATAATCGTTAAATTTGGCCGCAGTTAAAATGTTATCATTTCTAGAATTAAATAATCTCATTGCCAGATTTAAATAATGTTTTACGATCAGAATTTGTAAGTGAAACTGTTTTTGAAGTGCTTTTTTCAATTCTTGTTGTTAGTTCACACACTCCCTATATCAGTGTTTCTCAAACAGTGGGGCGCGCCCCACTAGGGGGGCGTGATAGCTTTACGAGGGGGCGCGAGCATATCAAAAAGTCGAGAATAAAATATTATTATAAAAAGTTACAAAAGGAAAAAAAACATACATTCTAACAAAAAATTAATACACGTCGCCCCTTTATTGTTATCTGTTCCAATTTAAAAAATTTGAAAAAAAAAGCAAACTAAAATTTTCTTTTCTTAAAAGTTTTTAGTTTACCAAAATATCTATTTACTTAAAAAAAAACACATAAAATATCTATTATTTAAAATAACATATACAAATTTTAATATTTATCTTGATAAGTTGAATGGCTTATAATTAAGATAGTATTGTAGTTTCAGCGTCAAAGTACATTATATATATATATATATATAATATTATTGTATTCAATGCATTGTTATTAGATAGGGGGGGGCGCGAAGAAAAATGATTGACAATTGGGCCGTAAGTATTGAAACTTTGAGAAGCACTGCCCTATATACACTCATGGACAAAAAAAATAATCGCACCAAGAAATAATTGCGAGATCGTAACGAAACTTCATACGAAGGTACATGTCGGAGAGATATGCAAATGATTAGAAATGCAGCGGGATTGCGCATTACGTTTATCCGGTAGAGGGGGGTTAATTTCGTTCTCCGTGGAGTAAAAAGCAGGTAACCCAAGCTTGTTTGAGTGTGCTGAATCATTTACAAAGGAAGAGTTCAGGTAGACATGCCATTACGCCGTTTTCGAAGACAATAGGGGCAGGCAGCTATTGCAATTTAAGAGGGGGAGAATCATCGGCATGATGCAAGCTGGGTGGTCAGCTAGGCAAGTAGCTCGTCAATTAGGCCGATCTGATTGTGTTTTGAGGAGGTGTTGGAACCAGTGGATACGAGAGATGTCATTTACACGAAGACCAGGCTCAGAATGACCTCGACAGACACGTCGTCGAGAAGACCGCCACATCGTAAGAAATGCACGAGTACAGCCAACTGCTTCATCAGCCACCATCCAGGCACAGGTAGCACCTTCACTGTGCCTTATCGAAATATAAGAAGGCGCCTGGTTGAAGGACCTTCGGGATCGCGGCGCCCATTACGAGTTCTACCTTTGACGCCCACCCATCGATGCCTACATTTGGAGTGGTGCCACGCACGAGGAGACTGGACTGCAGCGGAATGGAACCAGGTCATCTTTAGCGACGAATCCGAATTCAATCTCAGCAGTGATGACAATCATGTTCGTGTGGTCAATCCTGCCTTTGCTTTACAGAAACACACCTCTCCCACAGCTGGTGTAATGGTATAGGGTGCCACATTGTCTACAATACACGGTCACCCCTAGTATTGATCCGTGGCACCATGACAGCCCATCGGTATGTCCATGACATTCTGCAACCACGTGTGTTGTCGCTCATGCAAATCCATTTTTCAGCAAGACAATGTTTGGCCTCACACGGCACGGGTGTCACAAGACTGTCTCCGCACTGTTACTACGCTTCCTTGGCCTACCCGATCCACAGATTTGTCACCAATCGAGCATATCTGGGATCATTTGGGACGGCGAGTTGGGCATCCCATGAGTATGAACGAACTAGAGGCAAGGTTATAGCAAATATAGAACGAAATGTTTTAAGACATCATACAAAACTTTTATGCATCAATGCCCGATCGTATCGCATCGTGCATTCGTGCTAGAGGGAGTTGAACAGGGTATTAAATCCTCCGTTCTTTGGTCTTTTTCTCTGAAAAAAATGAACTTTTCTCTTTGATTTTCTAATCATTTACTTATATCTAAGTTGTCATTACGCATGTAAAATTCCGTTTCCTGTGACGAATCCTTCTTGGTGTGCTACTTTTTTGCTCATGAGTGTATATATTTACATATATATCTTGTTGAAATTTTCAATCGTAGTAAAATATATCCTATTCATCCTTTCAAGTTCAAATATTTTTTTTAAACTTGTAGTGGATGACACTTGATGTTAATACAGTTTTTTTTAAGATATTAATTCATTAATTGATGAATAATTAGTAACAATCAAATATATTAGTCCAACACCATATATAACAAGTAATATAAAAAAGGTTTTTTTGAAGTCAATTCCTACTTAGGTCAATAAAGAAAAAAATTTTTTTAACTAACTTGTTATTAAGTAATTAAAATTAATATAAATATGTTTATAAATATGATAGAATAATATTAAGTGGCAAAGCAGAAAGCGATTTTCCTTGCAATTTTCAATTTTTCTTTCTATATACGGTGTTGAAAATTATTTGTGTTTGTTACTATTAATTAAATTAAATTATTCCAAAAAAACTGCATGGTAAAAAAGAAATTACCTTTTCAGAATTTAGTCCATCCCAGGTAGATTCGAACCCACGTCTTTTGGATTATGAGTCCAACGTGCAATACATTGCACTACAAGGACACAACGAGCAATTTTCCTCTTTTATAAATGGTGGTGAACCATTATTTTTATTTGTTCCTATTTATTCATTAGTTAAAATATTAATAAATTAATATTCGAAAAAAATGTATTAACATCAAGTGTCATCCACTACAAGTTTCAAAAAATATATTTAAACTTTAGTGGATGAATAAAATGTATGTTATTAACGATTAAAAATTGGAACACAAGGTAATATATATATATATTTAGGTAACTTTTACCTCTATCTTGCATTGGATTTAGATATTCCTATCCATTACTTTCAATAGGTTTTTGCTCAGTATTATTTACATAAAGGGAGAAGGTTGGCTGGCCAACAAACATGTTCAACCCACTTTTTTATAAATTATTTTATATATTAGCGTCCTAAGTCAGTACTTGTTTCATCAAAACTGCAGAAAGGTAATATATATATATATATATATATATTTAGGTAACTTCCCCCTTTTCTTACATTGGTTTAGATATTCCTATCCATTACTTTCAACATGGGTTTTTGCTCAGCATTATTTAATAAAGGGAGAGGTTGGCTGGCCAAAAACATGTTCAACCCCACTTTTATATAAATTCATTTTATATATTAGCTTTTCCTAAGTCAAAACAATGTTTATAATACTGCAGCATCCATTTTATAATTTTTAATCTTTTTATCATATGTCCTTCATTGTGGTTTTTTCTACTGTTTGTGTTTTTTTGTGTGATTGTTGGATTTTATCTCTTGTTTGTAGAGAATAAGCCTTATATTTTATATTTTAATATATATAAAAAAAAAAGAGAGAGAGAAAAAGGGGAAACATATAAATAGAAAAAATTTGAAAAAAAAAACACCTTTCATTGTACCTCTGTAGCTCATTGGGTAACGCGTTGGACTCATACTCAAAAGTTGTGGGTTTGAGTCCCAACTGCGATGGCCTAATTTCTGAGATAGTTATTTCTTTTTATTATTCTATTTCATTGGAATTTAAATTTATTAAAAAAAAAAAAATTAGTCCACACCCTATATATAAATGAAAATGGAAAACTAAAAGGGAAAATGCTTTTATTTTTCACTTACTATTGTGATTCTTTTTCTATGATATACAAATTTATATTAATTGTAATATTTAATAAAAAGTAATAAAATAAAAATTTTCTTTTGTGACCTAAGTAGGAAAAAGACCTAAAATTTTTTTAATTATTTTTATGTTCAGTTTAATTAAAATCCACTTTTACGTACAGAGTGTTTTTAATGATATAGTTTTACTTGTAATATTATAATAACGAGTGAAGTATTTATAATAAATATTTAAGGTGAAACACATCAAAGTGGAAGAGAATGTTTTTAATGAGATACGGAAAGATTCAATGGACAAAAATTGGTCTAAAATTCAAATAAAATGTTTTTAGCCTAAATTTATTTTTTATATAATTTTTGTGATCTCACAAAATTTGAAAACTCTGAGATAGAAAATGTCAGAGTTACGATAACTTTTTGTTACTTTTTTAATCATATCCCTTGGAAAATAAAAACTTGGTGAAATTTTTCTCTAAAAGAAATGTTTAACCCTTATTTATCTTATTTTAATGCTAAAGCCTTTTTCTATTATACCTAAAACTTTGAAATTGTTTTAGCTATTGCTAATAGGACATATAATAGAAGTTAATATGCATTTTTAAATCAAAGGTATACTTATTTTTTTAAAAAAAAATATTTGAATTTAAAATTAATATTTTTTAAGAATTTTTTAATAAGCATTCTGAAAAAAAAAGAGTATTTTACATGTATCAATCATGCTAGTAGTAAACCTATAACAACTTTTGTAATACACAGCTTGACGTATCAAATTTTATGTGTGTACACCAATTATTTTAGGAAGAGTACCATTTTAAAAGTTATTCATAAATTTTAAAATGTTTCTTTAAACAGTCAAAAGGGTAGTATTTTCTGGTGTTTTGAGAAAAAATTTTTTTAAGTAATTTATATGCAATGGTTATAAGCAAATATATTGTAAAAACCATTAAATCAAAATGTTTTGGATAAATCATACCATGCCCCCTTAAAAATTATTTTTGCTTAATGATAAACAACAAAAATTAATCTACTTACTGTTACGAAATGAAAATTGCAAAACTATATAAAAAGGAAAGAAAATTGGATAACATTAGCGAAAAAAATATATGTAAAGCTTAAAGGGCTTGTAAAATAATTCAGAATAAATAAAATAAGACGTTTCCCTTAAAATTTAGAAAAAAATTATTGGCATGAATTGGGAAATGTCGATTACTTAACTTCCTTTACTTATTAAATGTACTCTTATTTTTAGTAATCATTTTGCAATATGTCTTAATATAATCATTTAAAAAATTTCCTTATAAGCTGTTTTATTTCATAAAATTTCTTGTGGCAAGTGTAATGCAATTGAAGATAAATATTTTGTCTCTATGTTGAAACAATAAATAATTCTCAATAAATGTGTTACTGCTATTGCATTTACTGCGTTCTGTTGTAATAAATGATTTTAGAAAATATGATTTAATTTTTGGAAAATAATATTAATAAAATTTGAAAATAACATATAATCATATCACTATTACATATAACTATGTAGTATCATTATATTATTATCATTATATTTATCATATTTCTTTTATATATTATATTTTCTATGTACATTTATTACACTTTATTATATAATTTCTACATTTATACATATTTAATTCAATACATTTTTACATACGATTGCACATAGTTTATGCAGGCTGTTGCCGAAATCGATAATAAATTCAGAGGGATGATAATATGCAGCATGGAGACTACAAATTCTCATAGAACATGGGGTGCAAACCACGTTTATGGTTGATTATTGATGATATTGTGCACTGTTTAGTACACAGGGCTTTGGCACGTTTGACATGTTCAAGTGACGTGGACGACGCCTGAGCTGGCACCCTCTAACTACCCCCACACCAACGGAGGACGTTTCAGCTCGACAGATTTCGTGCATAGCTGCCCAACGCGGGTCTTTAGTGGTACTGGGGTCGAACCTAAAAGCGGACGGTCCGATGCTATACCATTGGCTATGGGACCAATTTAATTGAGGATTCACAAACGTTGTGAAATGTGTGATGTCGGTGGATAAAGGGCCAATAATAAGGATACATTTATTACATAAACATGTTTACATATGAACAATAATAATACTTGACGTCGAAAATGCATCGGCAAGGGATTGCCACGGGAATTGTTCAAAGTCGGGCCGTGCAGTACAGGGACTTCGACGGATGAACAATTGTCGTACGCTTCCAAACAGATTCAGTGTGCTGGCGATGTCAGATAAAGCAAAGAGAATCTTTAAAGTTAATTCTTCCACTATAACCACCGGCGTCTCAGGAAAAAGTAATTTCAGGTGGCTCCAGAAGAAGAAATTCAAGGGATTGAAGTCAGGTGAGTGTGGGGCCAAGCAACAAATCAGCCTCGTCTAATCTACCTCCGGGATATGTAGCACTCTGGTGATTACTCAAAGAATCGAAAAAAATGTACTGGGGCACCATCGTTTATGAATCGTACTTTCTCTGTGGCCAGTACTTCCTGCAGCAATTCCCTGATAAGTCAAAAATTTGCATACGTGAAGGTTTCTTCAACCGTATCATGGCGCTCCTAATCTCCGCTTTCATTCGTCCATACTCCTCGTCTAACTCATCTTCCTTTCGATGGCCAGGTGTCGTCCTCGTCACTTGACCATGGTTCAAAATTACGAGGTCCGTCACCAAAAGCCTTCGAGTAGCTGAACAGCGTGACGTTAATATTCACTCACTCCTCTCGATGGCAAGTACTTTCACAAATTTCACTGACTAAACGTGGTTTGCGATCCCATGTTCTATGGTGATTTGTCGTTCCCATGCTCTGCGTACTATTACACCTCTGAATTTCTCGTTGGAATTCAGCAACAACCTGTATATTGTAATCTTTATAATACAATTGAATTACTGTTATAATACTTTTATATATTACCGTTATAATTGTGTTACTTAATATGAACTTTGATATCTCAAAACATGTGTTTTTATTGAAAAACTAATTTTAACATTCTATGACTACTTTTCTTACATATTGTGTAACTTCTCGGAAGAAACGCATTTACAGATCCAATTGTTTTAAATAAACCGTGCTCTCTAGAGAACAGTGATTGATCATCAAAGTAGGGTACAGAGTGATAAAGATAGGCTTATATACCTGTGGTTCTCTTCAAGTTTAGTTGGGTACTTCATACAGTTATTTTCGATTATATATTAAGAGGTATTCAATCAAAAGCTTAGGGAACCTTTCTTTAGGGCTTCACAAAAAAATGCCATTAGAACTTTATTTTAAACCATGCTTAATTGAAACAGTTTGACATTAGAAATAATATCTCCCTTTCCTAATTTCCCCACCATCACAAAACTTTAATGGTTAACTTCATATAAAGTTTTGAAGCACCTATATTCTCTCTGCATGGTGGATCTTTGGACGCATCAGCATTTGAGACAGGCACTATATGGACAACGCATCTCAATCAGTTTTTGAATTTAATATGCTGTTTCCTATCATGTACATGTTCATGAAAAAATAACCCCTTAACTGCCACTTGCGTATATATCCATCTCGCTCAACCGGTGCTTTATGCGTCCCGGACGTATATATACTTTTTTCGAAATACGAATTTTTTCTTTGCGCTGTTATCATTACAGCTAATCCGAAGGCTTTGGAATGCACTAAAATTTACTATATAGTTTGTGAAGGAGTTAATAATTTCAAAGAAACATTTGCTTATTTGTGCCTTTCCTTCCCCTTTCAATACACCGCATACGCGGGCCTATGTGAAACACGGCGGCACTGAGTAGCGAATCGCAACTTTTCATGGCAGTTAAAGGATTAAAAAATAAATGAAAATTGATCTTAGAGTGAAAACCCACTGAACAAAACAACAGAAAAGCTAACAATTACATAAAAATTAAATAAA